AGCAGCCAGCCGGCAGATGCAGAGGGAGAGCGGCGCCAGCAGCGAGGGACACGCGGCCGCCGGGCCCGACCCGAGGACCGACTGCTGTTTCCCTCCGCCCGGCGTCCGCACGTGACTTCGGGAAGATCCCCAAGTTTTTAGGTTCTTCTGTCAGCACATCCCCCAGACCAGCCTGGCCTCGGGTGCCCTGTTGGGGTCTGCGGGGGGAGTTTTGGAGGAGGATGCAGGATGGTGAAGGAAAAATCGGGAGCAGGGGAAGGACGTATGGGCCGTGCGGCCCTCAGCTGAATGCTCGTGTTTAAAGACACCTAGATGGAAACGTAGCTGACGGGAACAGAAACTCTTTTCTGCCCGGAGACAGAAAAGAGAAAGGAGTCCACGAGAGGTGCCGTGTGCAACCTTGCACGATCTGTCGCGGAGGGCTGCAGCCATCGGTTAAATGCAAACCCTCGGAATCCTCATTCAACAAAAACAGGACTGACGAGGGACAGTCCGGCCGCAGCAAAGAAAGGAGGCCATCGGGAATGGCGGCGGAGGCCCTAAGGACAGTGGCCATCGGTTAAATGCAAATGTTTAGAACCCCCAGTTGGAAACGGGACGTGAACCAGTTCGGATGCAGGAGGTGGAGAGCAGAGGGCGGGCAGAGGGGCACAGGCAGCCATGCTCTGAGCTCAAGGACAGCAGCCATCAGCTAAATACAAGACTCCTTTGGTTAGGAGCGGCTGGCACGAGTCCACAGAGAGGGAAACGGGCTGTGTGACCACCGCGCGGACACGGTCAAGAATAAGATGCCGTCGGCCGCGCGGTGTGGCCGGTGACTTTAGCGGCACCCTATGAACCTACAGGAAACCACGGAGAGGCAGGGGGAGCAGGGGCACCTGTGGCCACTGTGGGGGGAGGGACAGGGTACCGGAGAGGTGTGCTTGCTCGGGGCACGCCCCAGGGCAGTGTGGGAAACGCCGACACCCGCCACTAAGTGGGCTCGAGACGAGAGGTGTGAGCAGAAGCCCCTCCTCCTACCAGGGAAACGAGGCCTTTTTGGTTTTGTTCGTAGACATCCCTTAGGCTCCCAGAGAAGGCAGCAACCGCCAGTTACGTGCAACCTTCCAGAAGCCTCGCTTGACTGCAAGCAGGGCCCACCCGCGGGGGCGCCAAGCCCCGGCCCCGCAGACTGTCGGGAGGCTGGAGTCTAACCGCAGGGGGCGCGGCTGTGCGGGGCCCAGGAGGGTGACAGGGAGCGGCGTCCTCTCCGGCTGGCCTTGTCCCTGCACCGGGCAGGGGCGCGTACCTGGCGTCTGGAAGTTAATCCGCCTCATTTCCACAGGGTCCTTGGGGTGGTGGGGGGCGAGGTC